GCTGCTGCTGCTGCTGCTGCTGCTGCGTTCAGCTTGTCGGATTGAATCCTGGGTGTCTTTTGTGCTGCTGCGCGCTGCGGAATTCGGCACCTACCGTCTGTCCGTCCAGCAGCAGCAGCAGCAGCAGCAGCAGCAGGAAGAGAAGGAGCAACCGTCGCAAGAGCAACAGTCGCGAGAGCAGCAGGATGAGCAGCAGGAGCAAGAGCAGCGCCAAGACGAACAACAACAGCAGCAGCAGCAGCAACAGCAACGGCGAGAGCAGCAGCAGCAGCTGCAGAATGAAGCAGATGCAGCGGCTGATTTGGCTGCTCTGGTCACCGAGGCGGACGGGCTGACCCGCAGCTGGCGCTTTGTTGCTGCAGCACTTGTTCGCGTGGCCGAGGTCTGCAATTCCTGCTGCTGCTGCTGCTGTTACTGCTGCTGCAGCTGTTGCTGCTGCAGCTGTTGCTGCTGGGCCGCTGCGTCGCATCTGTTACGGCTGGGAGGGCTTTGGGTCCACGACTGCAGCGTCGCTGTATCTGCTGCAGCAGCAGCTACCACAGCAGCAGCTTCAGCAGCAGCTATTGTTGCAGCAGCAGCAGCAATTATTGCAGCAGCAGCAGCAGCAGCTTCTGCTGCTGCAGCTGCGGAACTGCGTGTCCTTGGTTTGCCTTCAGAGCTGCCTAGACACCTTAATGGCCAAGGTGGCCTCCGTGCTGCAGGCGCGAGGAACTCATGCTGCTGCTGCTGCTGCTGCTGCTGCTGCTGCTGGCGCCCCACACTTTGCGCAGCTGCTGCTGATAGCTGTCTCCGTAGGACTTTAAGGCCGGGGACTTGTCTTCTTTTTATTTCTTTTTTATTTGTTTATTTCTTTTTTATCTTTTTTGTTTGTTTTCTTTTTGTTTCCTCTTTGTTTTCTTTTTGTTTATTTTTCGTTTTCTTTTTGTTTCTTTTTATTTTCTTTTTGTTTATTTTTTGTTTACTTTTTATTTCCTTTTTGTTTATTTTTAATTTCTTTTTTGTTTATTTTTAATTTCTTTTCCATTTTTCTTTTATATCTTTTTTGTCTCTTTTTTTTTATTTCCTTTTAACTTTTTTTTATTTTCTCTCGATCTTTCTTTTATCCTTTTTTATTTTCTTTTTTATTTCCTTTTTTATTTTCTTTTTTATTTCCTTTTTAATTTTATTTTTCATTTTATATTTTTTCTTGTTTATCTCCTTTTCATATTTGAGGATTTTGGCCCTTTTTCAAAGCGGTGTTGTAGTTGGCTCTTTTGCTGCTGGCCTTCTCTGGAGCTTCATTTGCTGCTGCTGCTGCTGCTTGTGCTGCTGCTGCTGCTGCTGCAGGCCATCGGGTGTCTGTATACAGTGCAGCAGCGCCTGCGGACGCGCATTGCGCAGATTTTGCTGCAGTCCCTCAACGTCACTGTCGTTTTGCTGCAGCAGCAGCAGCAGCAGCAGCAGCAAAGGAAAAGTTTGGTCTCCAGCCCCGATGGGAGCAGCAGCAAGAACCCAAGCGCTACGGCTGCTGCTGCTGCAGCAGCAGCAGCTGCTGCTGCTGCTTGGCAGCAACCCGTCTTCTTTGAAGACTACAGCGGTGAGTGAGGGAGGCAATCATTACAGCAGCAGGGGCTGCTGCAGCAGCAGCAGCTGCGGGGACAGCAGCAACAGCAGCAAGTGCAGCAACTAAAGCAGGAGCAGCAGCAACCAGTGCAGCAGCTAAAGCAACTCCAGCAAGTGCAGCAGCTGCAGCAGCTGCAGCAGCTGCAGCAGCTGCAGCAGCTGCGGCAGCAGCAGGTCGGATGGGGCCCATACGCTGTGATGTGTCTCTACCCTTGCCAGTTGACCTCTTGCTGCTGCTGCTACTGTTGCTGCTGCCGCTGTTGCTGCTGCTGCTGCTGTTTGCAGGCAGCAACAGCATGCTGCGCCTGCTGGCTTGCTGCAGCCCCAGCGCTGCATGCAGCAGACTGAAGAATCTTCGAGTTGATTTTATGTCTGCTGCTGCTGCTTCCTTTTACCCGCACCTCCAGTCCCAAAGCAGGCGTAGGCCCTAAACCCTAAACCCTAAACCCTAAACCCTTAATTTAGTGGCTCGGACTGAGGCTCCTCAGTCCGATGTATGCGAGGGGAAACCAGAATTCAAAGGTTTAGGGTTTAGGGTTATGGTTTAGGGTTTAGAGTCTAGGGTTTAGGGTTTAGAGTCTAGGGTTTAGGGTTTAGGGTTTAGGGTTTAGGGTTTGCGCAGGCATACTGGAGGCGACGCACGAGGCGAAAGTGCTTCAGGTGGATTTGCTGCTGGCGAAGGAGACGTGGGAGCGGCAGCAGCTGCAGCAGCAGCTCGTTGAACCCCTCACTGAAGTGCTGCAGTTTGCTGCTCCTGCTGCTGCAGCAGTACCGGACACAGCAGCGCCAGAAGCAGCAGCAGCAGCAGCAACAGCAGCTGCAGCAACAGTCACAACGGAGGCAGCTGCAGCGGCGGGCTCGGTACCCACTACAACAACTTCGCTCTCACCAGCAGCAGCAACAACAGCAGCTGCAACAGCAGCAGCAGCACCAAAGTATCCAGCAGCAGCAGCAACAGGAGCGACATACTCAGAAGCAGCAGCATATTCAGCAGCAGCAGCAGCAGCGGGCCCGGCAGCCAGGTCTGAGGGGCGTGGCGGCGATTGGGCACAGTCAAACGCAGCAGGCACTGTTGCTGCTTCCGCTGCTCCTGCTGCTGCTACTGTTGCTGCTGCTGCTGCTGCTTCT